TTCCGATCTTCTTCCAAGGTCCAGGCTTTTCCCTCTGGATAGCCCGGATGGTGCGAAGAGGGAAGAGGAAGGTGAAGCCGTGGCTGAATTGTGCGAAAGAGTCGTCGATGATGTTGTAATCAGGGAAGTGGATGTCCCTGAGTTGACTCGGTCTGAGCCGGACAAGCCGAGTGGGCGTTGTGTTGCAAGCGACGGTGCTGCTGTTGTTGTAGGAGGAATTAAGGGTACTCGGCCTCCGTTGCTGAAACCGCCGCCGTCGATGACGCTTCCGGAGATTGATCGTACGTCCTCCACTTGGGACATCTTCAGGGATTTTGCACCTGATGATAGGAGAGATCCTTCTGCTATTGAAGAGCATGCTTCTTCCGACGAAGAACACCCAGAAGAAGAGGATGAAGAGGAAGAAGAAGTAGAAGTAAAACAGGAAGAACAAGCTCAGACGGAAGCTGTTAAGGACCGAGAGGATGTCAACGCAGCGAGGCTTACAGTTGCTGAGAATGTGCCACCCTCCGAAACGTGTTCGTTTACCACGTCCAACGATGACGACTCTTCTAGCAGTACCACGGAGCCCTCCAATATTTCGCCCAACGGGAGATTTACGCGTAATATCACGTATTGGCAAAAGGGTGAGCTTTTGGGGCGCGGGTCATTTGGATCAGTGTATGAAGGAATTGCTGAGTAAGTTCTCGAATGCCATTTGCACTTATTTCGGTTTTAATTCTATTGTTTGAATTTGGTCCTGGCGTTATAATTATGAAGAAGATTTCGTTCGTGGCTTTCTATCCTAAGTAATAGAAGTAACTGACGATATCGTAAAAAATCATTGGACTCAGACCATCTATCTAATTTTAATGTCCAAAATGGTGTCTAATCAACCATATCACGCCAGATCATTTAAAAATTTTGCAAATCTATTTAATTGAATCCGAAATCATCCCAATCTCAGAGAGTTGCTCCGCTATTTATCGTGGATTGACTAGGAAGGTGGTCTGTTAAGGACAACTTGTTTGTTATTTTTGGTGTTTTCCCAGCTTAAATGCTAGAAGATTTGTAGTCAAACAGAAGGCTGAACTCTAATCACCATGCTAAATGCTAAGGGAATTGGTGAATTGACACATGTTACCACCTGAGTACCACTCATATGTTCGCCTCGTTGGAGAATTTGTTGATATTTGGCATATTTTCTTTCTTTTTAGTTCTTATTTTTTTGGGTGGAGGGGACTTGACCGCATATTCCATTCCCGTTATTTTATGTCTTTTGCTTCTGGTTTTTGGTCGTCTTACTACAGTGTATTGACGACTTATCCTTCTTATATGAACTATATTTTTGATTGTTCATATTTTCTACAGCGATGGTTTCTTTTTTGCTGTAAAGGAAGTTTCTTTGCTTGATCAAGGAGATCAGGGAAAGCAAAGTATTTACCAACTAGAACAGGTGATAGAACTGAGAGTGGCTTATGTTCTGACCTGGTGTATATATATTATATATATGTATATTTTGAATGCTTATTCTGTCATATGGTGGTCAAGTTCAGTAATTATTTTGTAATGTTTGCTTTTTATAATCCTCTGCTTATTCTTTTCAGGAGATTGCTCTTTTAAGTCAGTTCGAACATGAAAACATAGTTCAATACTTAGGCACAGACAAGGTATTGTCTCCCTACTTCCTTGTTTTTCTTGTTCATTGCTTGAATCATAGAGCTTTCGGTGCTAAAATTTTCCAACAACTAATGTCACTTGGTTCCATTAAGTTGTCTTTTGAGAGTCAATGCTTCAGGTCATAATTTGCAGATAATGTTTGCTGACTTCTAAGGCTTCAAATGGCATGTATAGCTTTAGCCTTGTTAGTAGTTTTTCAGGTGTTACCAAGTCAGGGTAGGACGAATACTTCTTATACCAAAACAATCATTGATAGCTGGGAAAAGAAAATATGCGAAGGAGGTTTTGGGTTACATCTGAAGGCTTTTGATTTCAGTAGTATGAAACTAGGTAGCACATTTCAGAAAACAGTAGGTTTCTTCGGGTTTTGTTGCTATTGGAGTTGTCATCCTATGAGAAGAAATTGACTGGGATGTAAAGGAGGTTTTGGAGTGCTAATCTAAGAAAATAGGTGCTTATGAAGATAGTATTGTGCCTACTGAATATTTTGTGTTGCCTCTTGCCACCAATCTTTTTCTTCCTTTACCTTTACAGCATTTAGTTTGTGAGAATGCTGTTTAATTCTGCTGATCGTCTTTGCAGGATGAATCAAAGCTTTATATTTTTCTAGAGCTTGTAACTAAGGGCTCCCTTCAGAGACTTTATCAGAGGTACAATCTTCGGGACTCTCAAGTCTCTGCGTACACAAGACAGATTCTGCATGGTTTGAAGTATCTTCATGACCGAAATGTGGTTCACAGGTAATGGAAAATCTTAAAATTGAACATGTCACTCGTCATATGTATCCATGTAACGTATTTGTTTCTTGAATGTATTAATCTCCCCAGTGAGCAATTTATATGCAAGATAACAGTAGCTAGGGAAATAAAATAAAAATGAAAAAATAAGACGGTCATACACGTTATTGTGTAAAAGAGAATCTTATAAATGATCTCTTTGGTGTTTTTCCATCGCTGCCATCTAGAGAATTAAACTGTATGGTAAAATTATCCCCACAGCAGTAATGAAAGGGCATAAACTATGATTTATTAGAAAATGCAGGTCAAGTTATTGACCAAGTTTGCTGAATGTACTCTTCTAATTGTTTTTGTTAGATACAAAGCTAGTTAGGTCGTAACTGGGATGATTTATCTGGAATTTTTCCTTTTCAATTCCCTATAGAGGCATCATATCTCATGAAGTAGTGTTTCTCTTTTATAAAATAACAACTTTTTTTTCCCCATTTAATTCTGATTCTAAATGCAGAAGAAATTGCCAGTTGCTATATCTAAACAATCACCTGCATAAGTCCACAGAACTGTTGTACTTCATCTTTGTGACCCTTATTTCTTTCTCGTCTTCTTTTATTTAAGGGACATTAAATGTGCAAATATATTGGTGGATGCAAGTGGGTCTGTTAAGCTTTCAGATTTTGGGTTGGCAAAGGTTATATTTTTGCTTCCTAATATTTTTATTATTCTTTCATTTTTTTTATTACTTCTGGAGTGTTGTTGAAATTTTTTCCTAATATTGTTGGGTGCACCGTTTTTTCCAGGCAACCAAATTCAACGACGTTAAATCTTGCAAAGGAACAGCGTGCTGGATGGCTCCTGAGGTTTGTTTTATACATTTTTTTTTTTTAAACGTAGCTGGAAAGTTCTATTTTGTGCACTGATCGATTTGATGGCAGTTTAGTCATTGCTAGTTTGAGTTTCAGAAGAAAGAACATATTTCAGTGTCAACTATGCCTGGGGCTGCTTTTGCCTTATAAATCATCTTACAAACATCGGGATTTTTCTTACCCCAATACACTTGGGGGATTAGACAAGTTTAGTTTCTAACAGAAGGGTTCTATTTTATGAACGTGGATATATTGATGAATGGTTAGGATCATGTCATGGCCATGGAAAGAAATGGCACAATTGCAAAATCCGATCCATGTTGGTTAGAAATTTGGAATTCCACCCAAAATTTAACGTGGATACCCATGTTTATTTATTATACCGATTTGTTTGATAAGCTAGGTTAATCAACGATAGTTGCTTTGTGTAGTAATTAGATTCCCAAAATAATTTGAACTAGATTAACCTTGCATATGCAGGTCGTTAATGGGAAGGGACAAGGATATGGGCTTCCAGCTGATATATGGAGTCTTGGATGCACTGTGTTGGAGATGTTGACACAAAAGATACCATACTCTGAGTTGGAGTGGGTATGTGGACATTTTGTTTGAATTCATTCTTATCTTAATATTCATTCCGCAAATATGATGGTGGCAATGTAATCGTGAATGGATCATATATGTGGCAAAATTGAGTCTTTCTTCTACCTTCGTTCATTTTTAACTGTCACTTTTGGTCTCAACAGATGCAGGCACTATTTAAAATTGGAAAGGGCGTGCCGCCTACAGTTCCTGACACTCTTT